GTCAATAAGATTACCATTTATTAAACATCTAGTGCACACTGGCGCTGTGATAGGATCTCTACATATGCTATCATATTTAATCCTTCTCATTATTCTATAGGGTCAGTATTTTAAATGAGAAAATGAAAGATCAAAGAGCATAACTTATTTTTTTAAAAGATTTATTTATGCATACAAGAGCTGGGGTATAGGCCAGAGGCGTGGGGGGGTGGGAGGATCCACCAGAGACAGAGTAGGGAGCAATGCAGGCAGTTTGACAAAATACACTGCTGAGGGGAGCAGCAGGTGAGACAGGAGAGGTCTGCTGCACCATGTGGGTCAGCTCGTGCTATAGTGGCTGCAGCTGGCTTCATAGTGCTGTGTCTTAACCCTTTGTGCCACCAGGGAGGCCTCCAAAAAGCATAACTTATTTACCAAGTTCTAGAACACTAAAATTCATACCAAATGCTTAAGTTTATCTGTCATAATAGAAAGAATTGCAAAGTTAGCAAAGTTTATATAGACTTTAAGAAGTGTAGAAGGAATTATAAAAGAAAAAGCGTTTAAGAGGAGAATCCTCTAATTGAAAGAAACATTTCTTTTTCTTTTTTAAAGATTTATTTATTTGTTCATATAAGAGCTGGGGTGTAGACCAGAGATGTGGTGAGTGAGATGATTCACAAGAGACAGAGTGGGGAGTAGAAGAGGGTGATATACGGAAATACACTGGAGACAGGACGGGTCTGCTGCGCCATGTGGGCCACCTCCCTGGCCAGGGATCGAACTTGTGCTGTGGTGGCTGTGGATAGTTTCATAGTGCTGTATCTTAGCCCCTTGCACCACTCTGAAAGAAACATTTCTTAATCTATACCAGGACTCTTATTTTAGAAATTCCTAAGCTGTTGGAAAAGAGGTAGGAAGGAGGACGAAGGGAAAACAAAGAGTATTTCTTGATTCATGGTTGCATTTTAGCTCAAATGCAATGCAGAAATGCAGATAATCATGAAGATTCTGTAATTTGGAATGTGAAATGGCATCTTCCAGGGTGATACAATCACTATATTAAGAAGGCAATACTGGAACTGTGCTTGTCAGCTCAAGGACTCTTTCTTTGAATCCACATCCTTTTTCTCATCCTCTGTCATTTCAGCTAGGTGTAAATTGTATAGTTCTGAACACATATGTCCCAAATCTAATACCAAATATAAATACAAACAGAAATGGAGTGTAATGTGAGTTAGAAGGAGTGAAAGCATCAACAAAACCAGAACAAGTTATTTCAATGCAACAGAAAAGGAAGGACAAACTATGGGAATACAAAAGAAGAATGCAGTAATCTTGAGGGCTGGAAAACATGTTGGGTGTTAGTAGGAAGGAAAGTAGGAAGGAAACTCATGCCATTAGAAAAGCCAGAGATGAAAGGAATGTTTTTAGAGAAAGTTAAGGATGTCTAGTAGGTCAGGTGGATAAGGGAGGACTGAAATTATGGAGGAGAGAAGGAGGTACTGGTGGCTTGAGGGGTAGAACAGTTCTTTACAGTGCCGAACAAGGTGGTGGAAAATGAGAGGTAGAAGTAGAGAAGGGTCAGGTTGCTGAGCAGAGAACTGCGGAAAAGGAGAAGCTAAGAAGTAGGAAGACAGATAACTGGTTAAGGAAGAAGAATCACCAAGGGTCTTTTGGTTGAAAAAGACAGGGACCTTTACAACACGGGGACCAGGACAGCAGGCTCAGCGGTGGTAGGAGGAACATAAATGATGCTTTCCAGGCCAAAGATGTCAAATTAAAATCTGCTGATGAGACACTGGGTAATACTTTCTGCCTCCCAGGTAAGCAGTGAAAGTATAGGCTCTCTTACTTAGAGAGCACCAATCCAAGGTAGAAACTGACAAAAGTTATAAACAAGGAACAGAAAGTTGATAGGAGTTTGCTTAAAATGGGAAATAGTGGAAACGCTTTGTATAAGAATTGGTGTTTGGAACTGGATGTGTTAGATTTGGACATGCAAAGATAAGAGAGAGGAGAACATGCAAGAATATGTGGTGACCTATTATAGTGTAGTGAATTGTGTTCTCCCAAAAAGATACGTCCTAGTCTTAATCCTTGGTACCTGTGAATGGGGCCTTTGTTTGGAATAGAGATTTGTACATACAATCAAGTCAGTGACCTTGATATGTGGTTATAAGGGATGTAGGGTGGATCCTAAATCTAGACTGGTGTCTCTGAAGAAAAAGAAAAGGGAGATTCCCCGGTGGCGCAGCGGTTGAGCGCTGGGTTGCGAAGCTGCATGCAGCCTCTGAGGCGCCAGTTCGCTCCCCGGCCTCAATCCCCGGCTGCTCCCAGGCCACCGGAGGAGGGTCCCACATGGCACGCAGACCTCTCCTGCCGCCCGCTGCTCCCCTCAGCAGTGTACTTCAATCCTTCTGCCTGCTCTGCTTCCTGCTCTGGCTCTGGTGAATTCTCTCACCCTCCCGCGCTTCTGACTGTACCCAGTGCATGTATAAACAAAAACAAACAAACAATAAATAAAAAAAAACATAAAAAAAAGAAAAAAAAAGAAAAGGGAGATTACAGACATGGACACACAGGGAAGAAGGTGGTATGAAGGAGGAGGCAGAGGTTGAAGGATTGCTGTGGGAGAGGTAAGAACAGATTTTTGTCCTAGAATCTTGGAAGGGAGAATGGCCCTGCTACTACTTTGATTTTGGACTCCTGACCTCTTTACTAATGGAGAATAAATTTCTGCTGTTTTAAGGCACAATTTTGTGGTAACTTATTATAGCAGCTCTAGGAAACTAATATATCTAGTAGATTTTCTGACTTCTGCTAGCGACTGTGGGCTGACTGTGAGATGATTCAATGTGATTTTTAAAAAGAGGGTGATGCAGGGTTGGACTTTGGCATGGTAATTTCCATGAAAATGTTTGTGAGAATCCAGAGTGCGAGAGTATGCAGAGTTTAAATAAGCTGAGGGAATTACAAATTATGGGCATGGACCAGATTCAAATGAAGAAAAGGTAGGAAAAGGAAGTTGCAGAGAGAAACACCAGGTTCCAGCTCCTGGCAGTGGGGCAATTCCTGGTGATTATAAGGTCCAGCTTGTGGGTGGCTGAAGTTGAAGGTCATTCATGTTGAGGAAGCTGAGGAATTCTGAGGCCAATGAGTTAGAGGATACAGGCATGAAAGCTGAACGGACTCTCTGCCAATGGTAGTGGTAATCAGATGTGATTACTCATTGTATATGTCAACCTGACTGGGCAATAGATGCCCAGATAACTAGTAAAAAATACTTTCTAGTTGTCTCAATGAGGGTGTCTTTGGAAGAATTTTATTTGGTATACTGGATCAATATATGGATCACCCTGGCCGAGGATAGGCATCATCGATTTGTTGAAGGCATGAAAAAAAAAAAAAAGTTGGAAAAGGCCAAATTCATGTTCTTTGTTTGAGCTGAGAGATATTCATCTTCTTTCCTTACACATCTGCCTTTCTCATTCTAGGGCTTTTAGACTCAGGTCCAGACTTATACCATTTGTCACCCCCTCCGGCCCTCATCATTCTCAGACCTTTGGAATCCAGTGTGAATCACATCACAGGCTTTCATGGTTCCCCTACTTGGAGATGGCAGATTTTGGAACTTTTCAGCCTTCATAACTGTGTAAACAAATTCTTATAATAAACCTCCTCATTCTCTCTCTCTCTGCATATATGCATATGTGTATACACACATATGAGACATATATAAATATCGTAATGATTTTTATCTCTGGAAACCTTGTCTAACACAGCAAGGGAGAGGGGAAATCATAGGAGAAGGGAATTCAGGGAATGCTCAAAGGGTGGTACAAACAGATGGCAAAAGCTTCTAAGAAAGAGCAGCTTACTAAGGGTGGAATAGTCTGGAAGTGCTTCTGGAAAAGGGGACATACCCCAGCCTTGCCTAAATTCTTTCCTGTGCTTTGTCTCCTACCTCTCTAGGTTGATGTGGTCCTTAAAGCAGGGACTCAAATGCAGATCCAAGAGCATCCACTGTGGAGTCAGACAAATGAAGGTGGGCTCCTTCCAACCTCATGACTTCAAGTCTTGGGCTCTTCTCTTCCTTGCATATCTAGGTGAGCGAGTCTACTCCAGGAAATTTAAGTACCATTTTGGCAGAAATATTTGTTGAATTGAATTCCATTAACATTAAAGTCCCAGACCAGTTTGGACTTTATAAGGGTCCTGGCTGTGAATGGAGCTTGAAAGGTTTAATGACCAAATTTAGCTATTTGCTACTGCTAAGAACGCAGCATATACATCTCATATCTTATCTTTGCCGTAAGGACTTCCTGTTAACTGGAGAAACAGATGAAGACATTTCCAAGAGCTAATTTTAAATATCCAGAGCAGTGATTCTCAAACTAGCAAATTTTAAAATCAAACTTCAAAATCACCCTAGAGGTAATCTCTTAGAACAGGTTGCTTGGCCCTATCCCCAGAATTCGACTCAATGGGTCTGGGATGAAGTGTGAGAATTTGAAAGTCTGTATTTAAGACTCGCTTCCCAGTGATGAAGTTGCTGGGCCCACTCAGAGAGACTGAAAGCCGTGTGCACTCAATACATGGCCCATAACAGGGCTCTCTGAATCCTGGCTCCACGGCCTTAGTCTTGGCTCTTGATCAAATCACTCTGCCTCGAGGTGCTTCATTTGCCTATCTGTGAAATCAGGAAAATAAACTATAATCGCTTAAGGCAACGCTTGGACAGTGCTGATAAATGATGGATCTTATTCTCCATTCACTTTCTGAAGGAAGTGGGACCAAAAAAATAGAGGTCCAAGCGGCCAGAGAAGGGCAAGCACTAAGTCCACCTTTTGCGCAGCCAGGCGGGCTCCAGCTCCGAGGCCCAACCCTATACTTCAATGGGTGACGCCCTAAGCCCGCCTGGGGTTTCGAGCTCGCTCGCCTCTCCCGCAGCGGCTCTGCGATCCCGGCCGCCACCGCCTCGCAGCCCGCGGCCGCGGCGCAGGCGCAGATCCCGCTGTGCCCAAGCTCGACGCACATGCGTACTTGGCGCGCCGGGGGAGGCGCGCCAGAAGAGTAAAAATGGCGGCTGCAATGCGCTTGGCGGCAGCTGGCGCCAGGTTCGGCGGGGTTGTGAGCGGCTTCCGCCCCGCAGCCCGCAGCCTGTGCAGCCAGCCCGTGTCCGTCAGCGAGCGCATCGAGAACAAGCGCCGCGCCGCCCTGCTGGGAGGAGGCCAGCGCCGCATCGATGCGCAGCACAAGCGGGTGAGTTGACAGGGGGCGCAGCCAGCCCCTCCCAGGGCCCGCGACCTATCACAGCGCGCCGGGTCGGGGCGCCGCGGCCGCCCAGCCAATCCGCGCCTTGCCTTGGGGGGGCGGGGCGAGGTGGTTCACCTTGAGAACCTGTTGCGTTGGGTCGGTGGGGGCTGAGAAAACGAGGCTAACCAAGTTTGTGTATTTTCACTCTCAGCTTTCCATTTGGAATTTTAGACGGATGTGACTGGGCTTCAGCCGACTTGACAGATATAAGCTTTTGGACAATGTACTTAATCTCCAGGAGTCAATTTATTTTAATTGAGGATAGTAATCGTATTTCCCTTACAATCTTATCGTTAGGATAGTGCAGTAGTGGCAGGCACTCAGTGAAAAAAAAAAAATTCTGTTTTTCTTATACCCCATGGAGGAGTGGTGGTAGATTATTGTGCCATTATGGAAGCAGGGAGATGTAGGCATGTGGCATGATGGAACGCTCACATTAACTGGGTGGAATGGGGTGTGTGGTGGGTGCAGGTTACTTATGGGCCCCAGCCTACTACCAGCTGAATGCCTTTAAGATTTCAGCGTGCATTGGACCTCCTGGGTAGGAAGCTTCGCATTGATAGTAGGTGACTTTTGGGGGGGGGGGTGTGTGCAGGATACTTTACATGTTTGACTTGAGTGAGCAACCGAGGCCCTGCACAGACACCCACAGGCCTGATTTTGAAGCAAGAATCACAGTTGGCCTTTGGAGAAAGACTGGTTGGGCCACTTCTTTAGCATAAGAAGCTGAAGCCTAGATAGTTGAACGTGGACTGGAAACTAGGCTTGCTTAATGAGTCCCTGGTACTTGTTTGAGCCTGGATGGGTTAAACAGTCAAGCTGGAAGGTGCAGAGTGAGGTTATTAGAAGTGAAGGGCTCTGAGACACACCTCCGGGGTGGGGGGCGACTGGGGCTGAGGGCTGGGGTCTTTGGTGAAGAGATTTGAACCAGCCCTTTCTTTCAGTCTAAACTGGATGTTGATTCTGACTTTGTAAATTCCCATTTGGCAAGTGCCATGTAGGGTAAAGGACACAGAAACTAATTCAAAAGGGCACCTGCACCCCTATGTTTATAGCAGCACTATGTACAATAGCTAAGCTATGGAAACAACCCAAATGCCCAAAAATAGATGACTGGATCAAGAAGATGTGGTACATATACACAATGGAATATTACTCTGCAATAAAAAAATCAGGCTTTTTACACCCTTCTGCCATTAGCGCATCTGTAATTATGGACATCTGGGCCCAGAGAGCACAGTATGCGCATATGTAAATGGGGACACCTGTGGCAAGGGGCCATAACAGCAGCGTCCCTCTGAAAATGTAGGGCAAATTGTAACAGGGTGGTCCCCAGGAAAGGGGGAGGTTCCCTGCCCCACCCAAGGGAGGGTGGAGCTGAGCAGGAAGAGGAGAAACAGAAGAAGAGACTGAGGAAGGAAGGAAGCAGGATGGAGCCAGGAGACCTGGAGGAGGCACATGGAGCCTAGAGACACGTGAAGAAACTGTGCTTGTCTTTTGGTCGTGGACTGGGTGACACAGATGTGGGTGAGACCCGTGGGGAGGTGACAATGGCAGCTTTTATCTTGATGTTGATTTTGCTCTTTTCCTTCCGGGCTTGTCCGGTTGTTTGTGACCCTTTGCTGTGGGTCCCCACTGGAAGATGCTTTAGACTTGTGGCAGGCTTTGGGGCCTTGTACTGGACCAATCCCATTTGGATGGACTTTTACCCACGAGGGGACAGGTAACTTTGGGTGCTTCATTTAGAAACTAGACTCTTTGCCTTTCCTGTATTGTTTCCTAGTTTTATTAAAGTTCCTTTTCATTAAAGTCTCATATGTTTTGTGTTGATGCGGCGGATGATTGTAACAGGGTGGTCCCCAGGAAAGGGGGAGGTTCCCTGCCCCACCCAAGGGAGGGTGGAGCTGAGCAGGAAGAGGAGAAACAGAAGAAGAGACTGAGGAAGGAAGGAAGCAGGATGGAGCCAGGAGACCTGGAGGAGGCACATGGAGCCTAGAGACACGTGAAGAAACTGTGCTTGTCTTTTGGTCGTGGACTGGGTGACACAGATGTGGGTGAGACCCGTGGGGAGGTGACAATGGCAGCTTTTATCTTGATGTTGATTTTGCTCTTTTCCTTCTGGGCTTGTCCGGTTGTTTGTGACCCTTTGCTGTGGGTCCCCACTGGAAGATGCTTTAGACTTGTGGCAGGCTTTGGGGCCTTGTTCTGGGCCAATCCCATTTGGATGGACTTTTACCCACGAGGGGACGGGTAACTTTGGGTGCTTCATTTAGAAACTAGACTCTTTGCCTTACCTGTATTGTTTCCTAGTTTTATTAAAGTTCCTTCCCATTCAAGTCTCCTATGTTTTGTGTTGATGCGGCGGATGGCAGAACCCATTTAGAATAGGCAGGTTTGCGGGGTTTGGGCTGACCCTCTCCCTGTCCTATAACAAAATGAGACAGTCAGAAAAATACTGAGCAAGAAACCTCATCTGTCCCCTGATTCAGTACTGAAGACCTGTAAAAATCTACTGAAGACTCCAAATTATCTTTTGATCTGCGAGAACTGAAGATGAACCTACCCGGCCTGGGACTCAACATGATTGCTTATTTGGACACAACCTTACTGACTTAGGCTACTTTTCTAAGTATAGCCAATTAGAGGTGTTTGTCCTGTTTTTTTTTTGGGGGGGGGGCAGCAGGGAAAATCAGGGTACAGTGGACCAGGGTATTTGGCTCGAGTGAAGGTGACAATGGATCCAAAGCAATGGAGGCTCTTGATAGGTTGAGGATTCCAATCTCACTGTCTCCAAGAAGCATTTTTTTTGTTTACTCTCATGAGTTCTATAGTCACATGCTTACTCAACTGCTCACTCTTTGTTGTGGGGTTGTTTCTGTATTATAGCATCTTTTTTTTCGGTATGGAAACCTTAAGCAGGAACCCCAATATAGAATAATTGGAAACGGCCTTGGACAAGGCAGAAGAGCCAAGCAGTAGTCCTAGAAATGTCCTTGGGGCGAGACCTTAGTGAATTGAGCATCTGTGGAGTTCCCAGAATAAGCCTGTAATCTGGTGTAGCCTCACTCTTCACTTAACCTGCTTTAGTTTTTCACCTCCTGTTTCTTCATTCTTCTGTTCATTGCTCTTTAGGTCCTGTAGGGTAAGGTAGAAAGTATCAGGCTTTTCTGCCCTCTCGCCACTAGGATGGATGACGGAACCCTGTGGCCCCGAATGCATGCCTGATGGCGGGCACCTGGAATAGGGTGTGGGCATATGTAGATGGGATTCACCTGGGCTAAGACTGGGCTTTTAAGGGTAGCGTCATGGGGACGCCAGCAGAAGCAGAGAAGAAGTAGAAGCAGAGAGAAAAAGAGAACCACGAGAGAGCAGAGACTATCAAAGAACGCCGGAGAGCCCAGACAGAGTGAAGACTTGCTGGGGCCCCGGGAGGCCTGCCAGCCTCCCGGGCCCCCAGCACCCCTGCCTGCCGTGTACCTGGTAATCCCAATAAAAGCCTGCAAAAGCCACTGAGGTCTCCAGGACTCTCTCTCCTCCTTTACTCTGTCTGCGCGGGTCATAGAAAACCTGCTCCGTGCCCTCCTGCCCTTTACAGGTCTCCAATAAATGTATCTGTAACTAGTTATTTTGTTCCAGGATCAGGCTCTCCTTACCTCCACTTTCCTGGCTACTTTTTCCTCTTATTTCCTTATTTGCTTTTCACAACTGGTTATTCTTTTGCCCCCTCACCCCACTTCTGCCTTGATTTCTTGACTGAAATCTACTGATAACACCTGTTTCTAGAAGTTTTCACATGGTGTGAATGGACAAAACCTCTCCAGGTTCTCCCATGAGCATTCCTTCCTTACCAACTTTGTCTCTAATGCAATCACTGAGTGATTTCTATTGCATTTTAGGGAAAGCTAACAGCCAGAGAGCGGATCAGTCTCTTGCTGGACCCTGGAAGCTTTGTTGAGAGCGACATGTTTGTGGAACACAGATGTGCTGATTTTGGAATGGCTGCTGATAAGAATAAGGTATTTGTTCACAATGGTGATGTGAGCCTCTAAGGTGTATTCCCAAGCTGTGATCTATCCACTAGATTAATTAAAGTAGTTCAGGATTGGGATCCTGGAATTACAGGAGTGCCTCTGGAGAAGCTCTACCAGGACTTCTCGGGGCCTCCCCCTTGCCTTTGTTTGCAGGTGAAGGATTGTGGGTGAACTATTCATTCCTTGTGCACTGTGACTCTGGCCCAGCACCCAGGGTTCTGGTTATAGGCACAGAGTTCTTGCTAGTATAGATCAGCTTGGAAGGAAAAGTGAGAATGTCTTCCAGTTGTGTTCTGATCTCTCTAGGTACCAGGGATCCCTAAAAGCTGAGAAGTTGCCTCTTTTGACCCTAAATTTATGCCTTGGAGTTTTTGAGGTCATAGTCACTGATACTTCTTTCAATTGGGTGTTCTCCATGGGTGCAGGTGCACAGAGTTCTTTGAAATCACTTAGTCTATTTCTTCAGATGTGTATATGTGCTATTTGTGACCAAGATTGTTAAACTTGGCATCAAATCAACTGGCTCCATCTGAGCCATCGTGGATCATACAGTAATTGTTAGAATTCCAAGAAAATTGGTGGGTTTGCCTTTTTAAGGTTTGTGGGTAGGTATGTGGCTTTGAAGTTGCCACATTTCTTTATCCTTCTCCTTCCCATGAGCATTTGTTAGTGGTCATCCTAAGAGGTCTCTTAATTATTCTGCTTTTAGGCAGGACTTTGTGGCCTAAGGCAGCAGTGCCCTTTGCACCTGTTGATGAAACAGTAGCCCAGTGCTTGCTGTTGTAGAGCTGAGGCAAGGGGGAGGGAAATTCCTTCATGTTCCTTATTGAACTTGAAGAAATTTTTGGTGGTTTATTTTAGGGGTGTAGTGTGAGAATTATCGGCATTTCCTGCCCTCCCGTCATTAATATTAATGATAGATACCTGTGTTCTTACACGTGTGCCCGATGGAAGACACCTGGAGTAGGTGGGCACACCTGGGCTGAGAGACTGGGCGTATAAGGGGGGCGTCACAGGGACGCCAGCAGAGAAGTAGCAACAACAAAGAGAGAGCAGAGAAGAGCCCCCGAGAGAACACTAGAGAGCCCAGAAAGAGTGAAGTCTCACCCGGGGCGGGGGAGCGGGGGCACTGGGAGGCTGGGAGGCCCCCTGCCTGTCTGCCGTGTACCTGGTTGCTGCACTACATATGATGTAAAAAGCTCAATAAAAGCCTGAAAAAGCCACCGAGGGCTCAGGACTCTCCTTTACCCGGATGGTAGAAAACCTGCTCTGTGCCTTGCTGGCGCTACAAGGGGATCATTCATTGTGGGATAATTGCCAAATTATTTAAATGAAGTATTTGAGATTTGTAACGTTTTTTCTCTGTTTTTCTGGTAGTTTCCTGGAGACAGTGTGGTCACTGGCCGAGGCCGAATCAATGGAAGATTGGTTTATGTCTTCAGTCAGGTATTTCATAACTTCACTTAGCTGAGCTTTCCTTGAGGGTAGAGTCAGACACAAAATATGTGAGAAATAAACAATCTTGGGAATTGAATGCTTGCCTGTAGTCTGGAGCAGATAAAGAATCTACTTTGATTTTCAGTGCATATGCATATGTGCAGAGTATTATGTGTTTTTTCTTAGGGAGAAAGAATTCTTAGTCTGTTTGGGGGAGGTTCACAGGGCAATTGTCACATGAGAAGCTTCAGGAACCAGGAGTTTATTCTGAGTAAGATTCCTCTTAGTAGGTTGGGTATGTGCCAGGAGGGCAGCTGTATCCTGGGAAGTTTGTAGGAGCTGAGGGAGCACAGTAGATGCCACCCAGCGGGGACCGAACTCTCAGAACCACAGACCCTGAGTTCTGGGCTTTCATGAATGTGCTTAAGCAAGTTTTGTCAGGCGGCGTCAAGACAGATAGTTTCTTCACACTGAGACCATAGGAGCATGTCTTGGGCAGGATAATGGCTACTGTAGATGTCCAAGTGCTCAGCCCCAGAACATGTGAATGATAACCTTAGATGGCAAAGGGGAGTTAAGCTTGCCAATGGAATTAAGGTTGCCAAACAACTGGCTTTGAAATAGAGTGGCCTGGATTATGCAGGTCAGCCCAATGTAATCAGAAAGGTCCTTGAAAGTGGAAGAGAGTGGCAGGAGAAGTCAGAGTGATGTGAAAATGACTTGACCTGCTGTTGCTGGCTTAGAAGATGGAGAAAGGAAGTCAGGAGCAGAGGAATGAAAGTGGTCTCTAGATTCTGGAAAAGGCAAGAAAATGTATCTCCCTGGAGCCTCCAGAAAGGATCTGAGCCTGGCTATCCTTGATTTTTAGCTCAATGAGATCTATGTAGGATTTCTGATTGACAGAACTGTATAACAATAGTTTGTGGTGTTTCTCGAGCCATAGAATTTATGGCAACTTGTCACAGCAGCAGTAGGAAACTAACACAAAGTACATGCTCTATACTGTTATGGGTTAGATTTCTACCCCCACCCCTAGAGTGGAAATATGTGTATAGTCCTAAATATTTTGTTTCTTTTACAGACTTAGCTATATAGCTTGCTTAACCAGAACAAAGTATTTTTCTGGGTTTGATATTAAAATATGCTTGGTTGATTTTACATTCATTATATTTAGATAATACCTATTTGCTAATGAATTACCTTTGAAGTGTTTTAAAGCTGTTATAAATAGGTTTACCAAATGCTTAACTAGAAAGAATCATCCCTTTTGTAATTTATGACAGCAAAGCATAAACTTGTGTGGAAGGAGTGGTTTTTAAGATAGCTAGAACAAAGAAAGTTATTGTGTGTTCTGGATACAATATTCTAACTATGAAGCAAATAGAAAAATTCATTGAATTGATACTTTTGATCTCTTATGCCCTATGGGTAGGGTAAAACTGAGGGGGAGGTGGAGAGGACTGATAATTTAAGCTTTTGCCCCAAAGGAGCTAGTCATTGTGTAGATTAGGGGCAGAATAAGAATGACTCCAATCGAGAGAGGGTGGGAGAGGTTCCTGGCAACTGCTGTGGATTTAGGACAAGGGAAGATCACATCCAGGACTGAGGAAAACTCTAGGAAAATGGGGGCATTTGAAATAGTCCCTGATGGATCCCTGCGGAGGGATGAGCCAGCTTTTTTGCAGTGATCCCCATTGGTAGGGAAGGTTTGTTTTCCAACGAAGCAATCTCCTTTCTTGCCTGATTATTTTGGCTAATAATTGAGTGTAGGTGTGTTCCAGGGCAAGTGAGTAGATTAAAGGAGGGGCTGGCGCTGGCTCTCACTCAGTGTGTAGGCTCCTCATCTCACCTGTTTTTAGCTTCACCTTTGCCTTCTTTTGGATTGGTGATTAATGTCCACTTTCTTTAGAGACCGAACTTACTTTCTCCTCCCAAGGGCAAGGAGAGGTCCAAAAGGCCTAGTGCTCCTAACTCAGACTTTTTATCAATCTGTTTTTCACCCCTCTGAAGAAGGGTGAAGCCCCCATTTTCTGTGGTTCCTGGATTGTTCCTTTTCCGTGATTTTTCCCTCTGCAGGTATATAGGCTTCCATTTGCTCCAAGTCAGATACTTTTCTTATAAATTCAGTTTTTCTCAAATTTGTTTAATTTCCCTTTGGCTGTTTTACTTTGCTTTTTTTTTTTTTTTTGTGTGTGTGTGTCTTCATGAGCTGAGTTTGACTTTAATTCCCCACTTTCTTTTTGCGGGGGTTTTAGGAAGGTCAGTCCTACAAGCAGTCTTTTACATCAAATGTCAAGGAAGTCTGGAAGCAGTGAGGACTCTGATTCATTTCTTAAACAGCAAACATTTCCTAGTAATAGAAATGCCTGATTGTTCTATTGTACATCTATAGAATCTGATTTTCTATGGAATAATTTGCAAATCAAACCTTTTTCTAGGTTTTTAAGCTTTCGAAAAATCCTTTAAAGACTATAAATTTTTCACTTCTGTGGGCGCTTCATTTCTGGCTAGTCACTACTTTATTTGTTGATATAATTGTTTTCTTTTTAGGATTTTACAGTTTTTGGAGGCAGTCTGTCAGGAGCACATGCCCAAAAAATCTGCAAAGTGAGTGTTTCATATTAAACATTAACTCAGTACTTTTCATTAGTAACATAGTACCTATTGAATGTCACTAGGGTACAAGACACTGAGCTGGGTATATAGGGTGGGACAGAGATGTGCAAGGTGTGTGCTGATTGGAATCTTCCTTCAGTCCAGGGGGTAGTTCTTAACATTTTCTGTCCCATGAATCCCTTTGGCAAGCTGGTGAAGGCTGGACCCTTGTTTTTAAAAATACATTAAAAATATGTAGTATGATTAAGAATTACAGATTAAAAAAAAATCACATTTAGGACCTCCCTAGTGGCACTAGGGGCTGTCTCAGTACTATCAAGCTATCTATTGCCAGCCACTGCAACATGAGTTGGATCCCTGGCCAGGGAGCTAACCCACATGGTGCAGTAGACCTGTCCTTAATCGCCTGCTGCTCCCCTTAGCAGTGTATTTCAGTCAGTCTTCCTGTTCTGTTCTCAGCTCTGTCTCTGGAGAATCCTTTCCTCTCCCCTCCCACAGCTCTGGCCTACATCCCAGTTCTTGTATGCATAAATAAAAAATAAATCACATTTGTAATTATTTGCTTTATTAATGCACTGAATGGCAAGATTTTGCAGTGGAGTCAAACTATTGTAATTTCAAAGTAGGCATGAGTGAAAAGATTTCAATATACCTCCATCAACTTTAATGTGACAAAAATATCCATGGGTTCTGTTAGTGATAAAGCCACATATTTTTCTAACAGTGGGCTTTTTTGTATTAATAATTTAAGGACTACCAAAGATCACCTGGAGTTAATAAAAGTATAAACTTTTTCCCATTCAAGTTCATGGACCTCCCTGAAATCTGTTCACAACCCACTGAGGTTCTGAGGACCCCAGGTAAAGAACCCAGGGTCTTTGTAGAGAATCCAGGTGCTAAAATATAAAGATCAGTACAAAAATTACATGATAGTATTTAAAAAATTTATAGAGGTTAGCTGTTCTGGAAATTAGTAAATGCAAATAATATTTAGATTATTTGCATTTTGGAGGATTTTGAAATTAAATGTAGAATTGACTGCTGTTAGCTGGACACTACTCTGTATGCAACACCTGGATTCTAGACATGGCATCACTTTTAAACTCTTACAATTTTTTTTCCCTTTACTGCATCTGTTATGGTTAAATGAAATAATGGAAGGAAAAGGTCTTTGTAAGCTGTCAAGGGCTGTTAGAAATGTGCATTAGGAACACTTTTCATGAGGAAAATCTGTTTCATGAGAAGTAAATGCAAGTCTGGGCTGGGCCTCAGGTTAACAGATAGGTCTCTGTTGCTTTTCATGAAAATATTACTTTGCTATTCTGCCTACTACTAGGTCTTTTGAAAGGGTAACCAGGACTAAAACTTGAAAAATACTATAGCCTGGGCCTGTGGTTTTAGAAATGATTGCTATGAGCATTTTTATCCCCTAATAGCAAATGCTTTGGCTCTTGGATGTTTGGCGAAATTTAATCAGTCTTTTAAGTACATGGTTCTCTGTCCTTCATGAAGGAACCCAATCATCTTGGGGAATGAAGCCAGTGTTACTCAGGCCTGTTTTTAATAGGGCACTCAGTGCATTTTCCAGAAAACACCATGGTGCTTTGTAAATGCTGTTTTTATTAACAGGATTAGTTGTCTCACATAAGGTTTCTCTGCTATCTCAGATCATGGACCAAGCTATGACCGTGGGTGCTCCAGTGATTGGACTGAATGACTCTGGGGGAGCACGGATTCAAGAAGGCGTGGAGTCCCTGGCTGGCTATGCAGACATCTTTCTGGTGAGAAATGTATTCACAAAGCACAGAGTGAAAAATACAGGGTTCTCTAAGCTGTGTCTTGGTCAGAGCCTCCCCTATGCCCTGTTTTGTCTGCTCTATGGCTCCTTCCTGTGTCACTAGGGGTGATGAGAAGGGTGGATAAAAAACAAGAGAGAGTAGGCAGGAGAGTTTTCTTTTTTTCTCATAGAGGGCCTCTCATAGGGGAAAACAAAATTAAGATTATTCACAAGGGAAAGTCACTTAAAATTTTTTTCCAAAAGCAAATAGTGGGAACATAAAAGATTAACTGATTTGCTAAATTAGGAATTTTTTTTTTTAAAGATTTATTTATTTATTTTATACAAGCACTGTGTACAGTCAGAAGTGCGGGAGGGTGAGAGAATTCACCAGAGCCAGAGCAGGGAGCAGAACAGGCAGACGGACAAAAATACACTGCTGAGGGGAGCAGTGGGCGGCAGGAGAGGTCTACACGCCATGTGGGACCCTCGCCCAGTGGCCGGGGATCGAACCGGCGCTGCAGAGGCTGTGGGCAGCTTCACAAACCATTGCTCAACTGCTGCACCACTGGGGAGGCCCCTAAATTAGGGATTTTTAAAAAAATGCATATTACTATACAAAGTTAAAGCAGTAATACAACAAAGGGATCACCGCAAATTCTACCTTGGGTGAACATCATTTCAGATCTTTCTGCTTGCTTACATACTAAAATTAAAGAGATGAAAAAACCAAAAATGTGTTATTTGAAGTAGAAATATCCTGTGAGAGACTTTTTAATAAGGGAGATTAGGGCAAGGAAGAGAGAGATCTGTCCCATGGAAACTGGAGAAAAATTAACATTTCTAAGGAGGGTAAGGGAAGAGACAGGCAGACATTGTTTCTAATCAGGCCAGCTGTTCTTGTCAGTCTCTGACCTGCTGAGGTAGGAAGATTTTTATCCGTGGCTACTGTCCTTTGTGATCAGTCAGAAATGTATGTGTTTATTTTGTGTAAACTAATCTGCTAGTTATGAGAGCACTTACTTTAGTTGTGAAGCCCCTTTGTGGAAATTAAACCCACTTTTCTTAAATTTGAGCTCCAGGGATAACGCACTGTGGAGAGTTAGTTTTTAGGGTGCCTTGGCCAGAAATATTTGGGCCTGAAAGTCGTCTTTGGCTCCTAGCATGGAAGTCGTGCTCCTATTAGAAACAAAGGAAAGGAAAAATGACCCTAGAGAATGGCAGCAAACCACCACATTTTAGAGCCTGTCAAATTTTAGAATGTCTTTTCTAATACATTATAGACTGGGGATGTTTGGTTTTGTTTTCAAGGGATTAGTGACTAAGATCTACATTGGTTAATGTGTACTAATGCTGCTTGCCATATCTACAATTCTACCCAAGTCTTCCTGCCTATATTGTTATTTTTGTTGCAGTTAGTTTATATTGGTAGGATTTTAAACTTCATAGAAAAATTACATGTTTATATGTTACAAAGAATCCACCTGTATTCTTTACCCAGCTGTTTACACTTTGCCCATTTGCTGTGTCATTATCTTTCCATATATTCCTCTTTTCCATCTTACATTTTTCTGAAACATTTGAGAATAAATTGGTGATAGAATATCTCCTTTGATGTCTTAAATTCATTATGTGTTCCCCCCCCCCCAAGATTTATTTATTTATTTATTTATACATATAAGCACTGGGTACAGTCAGAAGCGCGGGAGGGTAAGAGAATTCACCAGAGGCAGAGTGGGGAGCAGAGCAGGCAGAAGGACCATAGTACACTGCTGAGGTGAGCAGCGGGCGGCAGGAGAGGTCTGCACGCTATGTGGGACCCTCTTCCGGTGGCCAGGGAGCAGCCGGGGATCGAACCGGCGCTCCAGAGGCTGCAGGCAGCTTCTCAACCCAGCGCTCAACCGCTGCGCCACCGGGGAGGCCCCATTATGTGTTTTCTAAGAACACTGGATGTTCAAGCATTCTCTAGTAACCAGGTTACAATAATAAAAATCAGGAAACTTATCATTGATTCATCAATAATATTCAGAGTATGTCCTCTAATCCTAATAACACTCCCACCTTTTCCCTCCCCCACCAGCCAGGATTCAATCCAGGAATAAGATACCATTAGTTGTCATAGCTCTTTAGTCTCCTTTAATCTGGAGCAGTTTCTCAGTTTTTCTTGACCTTGACTTTTTAAAAAACTGCTCTTTTGAAGTATTATTGAAAATGATAAAATCCCTGCAATCATGTCAATAATTTTTAATAAACTTAGAGTTGTGCAACACCATGTAGTTTTAGAACCTTTCATTCAAACACACAAAAGCCCTCCTGCCCATTTGTATCCATCCCTTTCCAGTGCTGGGTGATCACTGATCAGCTGACACTACAGTTTTTGCATCTCTTTTCACTTAGCAAAGTTTTTTGCACTTTATTCATCTTTACTGTACAGAGGTCCATTCCTTTTTTAATGCTGAAAAATGCTCTATTGTATAATACACCCCTTTTGTTCATCATCTACCAGTTGATAGGCATTTCGGGTTGTTTCTACTTTATGGCTATCATAAATAATTCTAATGTGAACATCCGTGTAGCTACCCAGTCTCAGGAGAAAACAGTTCTGTTAATTTTTGCTCCATCCGTTTTGGGCCTCTATTGTTAGGTGCATATGTTTCTATAATTATGTTCTTAGTTTATTGACTTTTTAAAAAATTGTCTCTCTTTTGCCTATTTTATCTAGGCAAAACGATGGAACTACCCCAACATTATTTTGGTTACCCTTTGCATAGAATAGTTTTTTCCATCCTTTTACTTTCAACTTCTTTGGCTCCTGTAGAGCATATGTATGGCAGTTTTTTAAAAATCTTTGATGGCAGCTCTCCTGCCCACCTGTGACTATGCAGGTGCCTCTCTTCTAATAAACCTATCCTTTTAAAATATAAAAAAAATCCAGTCTACCAATTTATTACTAGGAGAATTTAATCCATTTATGTTTGATGTGATTACTGATAAGGGATTTATTTCTGCCATTCATTTCTGTACCAGAGCCATCACCTTTTATTTCTGGGGGAACCAGTGACTATTGAGCTCAACATGAGCCTTCCAATAATCTCCAATGACCCTCACCTGGAGTCACTCTTGGCCTACATCTTATACCTGGGGTATGAGAGGCGCTTAACCTCTTAAACGCTGTATCCCTGAGACCTCTGCTAGAGCAGGCAGAGTGTTAGGGATGGTCGGGGCTAGGAGAGCAGGTCTGAATTGTTCAGGTTTTAAGGTTTCCACAGCCAGGCAGTATAGTTTGGGGTTGTTAATCTACCTTTCCAGGCAGAGTCCTATGAGCAATGAAGTCAAACCACATTTGCTTACAGATTACTTTTACCAGAGCCTTTTGTTGGGATTTGACAGTTATATTAAAAAGTTCAGCAGTACTGCCTCCCTGGTGGCGCAGCGGTTGAGCGCTGGGTTGCGAAGCCGCCCGCCGCCTCTGCGGCGCCAGTTCGATCCCCGGCTGCTCCCCGGCCACCAGAGGAGGGTCCCACATGGTGCGCAGACCTCTCCTGCCGCCCGCTGCTCCCCTCAGCAGTGTACTACGGTCCTTCTGCCTGCTCTGCTCCCCGCTCTGGCTCTGGTGAATTCTCACACCCTCCCGTGCTTCTGACTGTACCCGGTGTGTGTATAAACAAAACAAACAAATAAATAAATAAATAAAAAAAGTTCAGCAGGAGTATATTCTCTGATCCTGAATTTCTTGAATTGGGAGTTGCCCTATCAGTTGGGGTGGTGGTTGTACTTTTGTCCTTTGAGTTAGAGGTTGAACTGACCAGGGCATTTCATCCACTTCTTCATCAATCACCACAACCTGCTCCTCTTTGCTCTACTCACTTTTCCAGGAATCCCACTTCTCAATGTTCCAATTAGGCTTTGTCGCAAGCACTTGTACCCTAATTTATGGCAGCATGCATTCTCCTGGCTTTGTAATAGGGCACACCTTGCTCTCCATTTCTTATCTTTATATTATCTTGTCTGCTATTTCTAAAGCTAGTAGAGTAGTGGATACCCACACTCCTCTAACCTCAGCTTTCCTTCCATCTTTCTAACGTGAACATCAGACTCTTATTGGGCATGAGTGGTGAGCTGAACTGCCCACAGTAGAGCCAGCATACTGTGATAGACATTTGTTTCCATTCTTTGCCATGGTGTACTATGCAGTTTCTCAAACAATGGCATTAGGCCAGCTGGTGTTTTGGGGGAGTCACAATATTCACTTAGCAGTCTACAGGCTATAATGTATGGGCCACACTTCCCCACACAGAGGTCAATTACCAATCCAAGATTTCCCCTGTCTCTTTCCCAAGAACCATTTTGTTTGATTTCCTCACTGACTCACCAATGGTTGGTTCAAAACCTTGAAAACTTTCTTTGGTGAAGTCTGAAACTGATTGTTTTAGACGAGGACAAGGAGAGACTGAGAAAAAGGGTAGGCACTCCAAATTAGTAGATGAGAGGTTTAATAAGTAAGGAACATGCATAACAAGGCTTCTCTTGGTGACTGTAAGATGAGTACATCTTAAAAGTTTATTTAGAGGTCTCAACTGGATTTAGTCATGTGTAGAGTAAGGTAAAAAGTATCAGGCTTTTCTGCCCTCCCGCCATTAGGATAGATGATGGAACCCTGTGGTCCCGAATGCATGCCTGATGGTGGGCACCTGGAATAGGGTGTGGGCATATATAGATGGGATTCACCTGGGCTAAGACTGGGCTTTTAGGGGCGGCGTCACAGGGACGGCAGCAGAAGCCGAGAGAGAGAGAAAACCATGAGAGAGCAGAGAAGCAAGGCCATAGAAAACACCGGAGAGCCCAGATAGAGTGAAGACTTGCTGGGGGCTGGGAGACCTGCCAGCCTTCCGGCCCTCCAGCACCCTTGCCTGCTGTGTACCTGGTAAATTCCAGTAAAAGCCTGAAAAGCTACCGAGGGCTTCAGGACTCTGACTCCTCCTTTACCCGGATCAGAAAACCTGC